GAGGTTCGTGTCTCCGCGGTTCTGCCAAAGCCCGGAGCCTTCGGCCCGATCAACGCTCTGCGCCGCGCTGCGCCGCGGGGTCTGTCACCCACCGGTCGGACCAGCCGAGGGCCAAAGGCGGAGCCAAAGGCGGCCCGAGAGCCAAACGAGCCCTCCCTATCGGCGGCCTCGGAGCTTTAAGTCGTGCATTGCGCCACATCAGTCACGTCACCCGAGCTCAGATCCATAGCAGCAGTTTTAATAATTTTGTTGTTTGGCCCTAAGCAGTGGTCAGCCGTATTTTTAACCCTTTTCTTTATGTCAAAAGTGCTTGTTTTTATGTGCAATAACAGACACCGTGCTATAGCTATAGCATTCAAGTTCTTAAAAGTAACTACAGGCCTGCCAAAAAAAAATCAAAAATCAAGGTTGTTTTATGGACTAATCATCATATGGTGTTTCGACGCACACCCCGGTGCGGCGGGCAGGTTTGCTTGCTGACAAGGGACCCTGGCGCCCTACGGGCAGAGGGAGTGTCGGTCACCCGGTGAACCCGACGCCAACAGCGCGTCGTACACCGAAACATCCGGTCACTGTAAAAAATATCGTCGTAAATTTACAAAATTTTTGTAAACTTGAATTAAAATTTAAGTTGTAAATTTACGAGAGCACATTTTTTACTCGCCAATTGATTTGAAGTCGATACGTACTGCATGTATTTTTACGATCACAAATTGTAATTTTACAACTTGCGTCAAAGAAAATTTTCCTGTAAACCTACCTACTATTTTTTACAGTGGTAAGTGCATTTTTCTTTACTATAATTTATGTCGGTTCTACTGATGTTTTCGGCAACGTGGCAACGCAGACCAACCTCTTGCCTCCTTTCTTCGCAACTGGAGGTGTGCCTTTGGTATTGAACCATGCAGAAAGCAACCCCCCATCCGCACCAGGGGCGAGCACTAGGCATCGAGCCTTTGGGTGAGCCTGCATTCAAGGCTGCAGCCTGAGAGCTCACCCACTCGCTCGCTCACGTTCTCGTGTACGTGACGTCGTCCCGCGCGAGAGAGAGAGAGAGAGAGAGAGAGAGAGAGAGAGAGAGAGAGAGAGAGCGGCCGACCACGAGACGACTTGCTTATTGTTTGAACCAGTTTATTAGATCAAGGTCAGCCGCTGTTATCACGGCACATACAGTTTGTTCAGCAAACATGCCAGTGACTCGGGCAGGCCTGCTGGGTTGTTGCCTTCTCCGTCGCGTCTCGACACCGAGAGGGAGCGGCGAGGGCCATAGCCATGGAGCTCGGGGCGTCCAGCCTCGCCCCGCGCAGGCATAGCTCGCACCGTGCTGCTGCCGTGGTCAGGTCACCGCCAAAGCGAACACCACCGAACGGGTTGGGGGTACGCTGTGACTTTCCTCTTACGTGCGGGATTCTTACCCGGAGCGACACGACGATACGAGACACATGATGGGGCCGCTGTTTGCGCGGCAGCTTATCTCTGCCTCTCCGTGGCGCGCCAGCCCGCGCCAGCCCGCGCCTGCTCCCACAACAGGGAGCAGCTCAACCCCCCCAGATCCCACTTGATCCCCCCTCAGCCTGACGTGCTGCTGCTCTACTATTGCGACTGGCTGCGGGACTCGATTCCTGTGGCCCTTTTATGATTTTTCATGATTTCAGATGAGTCGTTATCGTGCACAAACTGCGTTTACTTTTGGGCAGAGGCTAAACAAATATTATGGTCAGGGCCCTCATTGGAGAAGACATGTGCTATCGAAGTCATATCATTTGATTCACGTTCCGTTCATGATTAATTCGAATATTTGAATGGAACACTTCTGTCACTTGTATTCACGCAGTGCAAATTGTGTGTGCATATATGTGTGCAAAAGACGAAATGTATTTCTTAACGTTTGTGCAAGAACAAAAGGAGTGGGGTCATCAATTAAGAAAGTTACACAGTGTACGTAAGTTTCAATGAACAGGCCGTGCCTGACTCGGGGAGAGGACTGACGCGTCAGCGAGTTACGTGAATCCCAAATCTCAAAGCAAATATACGACGCACCCTGTGATTCGTGACGTGTCACCGAGAGGGCGCCATAACAACACGTCACCCGGAAAATAATGCAGGACTCACGCTCCTTGCAAAGTGATCATCACTAACGCCACCATCACTATCACCAACTATGGCTCGAGGGGTGGGCGACTTGAATTTTTCGTGTACACAGGAGTACGGAGTACACGGAGTACAGTCGGAGAACACTGAGTATTGCCGGTCGGAGCGCGCAGAGTACACCTGGAGTACACCTGGAGTACACCTGGAGTACACCTGGAGTACACCTGGAGTACACCGGAGTACACCGGAGTACACCCGGAGCACAGTCGGAGTACGCGGAGAACTTGCGACAAAAACAGCCGGAGTACACGGAGTACAGTCGGAGTACAATCGGAGAACACCTGGAGTACATTTTGGCCTGTACACAGGAGCCGCCCAGTCGTCCACCCCTCGCTATGGCTGCATTTATTTCAGCAATCCAATCGTAATTTATACTCTGCTTACACGTTTTGCATTCTTTTTCATACTGAAAGTGTCTTATGCAGATGCGCGCCTAAATTCGACATGAGTATATAATGCTCAAAGTCGTCAGCGTGACCTACGAGGTATGTTTATTTGGCATTGAGACTTAGCCCGGCACGACATAGCCAAACTGCGATGCACTCTTCGCTGGCGCCGCCCTAACCCATCACGGGATAGGTGGCCCTGAGGTTTGGATGCACAGACACACAAAGCCATGTCACTCCCCCCCGCTCCCCCTCGGTCTATCTCTCTCACCTTTTTTTCTCTCATACACACACAAACAGACCCACTTGAGCAAAACGACCCGGGCAGCAGTAGCCCAGTCAGCATCAGGTTGGAGTCAAACTTTATCTCCATGAAGGTGTTTTTTTTTCTAAAAGTCGCTCAAATACAAAGGCCTATACTATTTCGGCCTGTTGCCGCAACTGATGGCGTATACGTTTTTCACCACTGCCCAAGTGTACACCGGTGGTTGAGAACACACATAAATGTGCCACTCCATCGGCAATTTTCCGTCCAATGTCAAACAGGGAGAAAGAAATACGAAACCCACATACACCCCCCAAAAAAACGTGTTCTCAATTGCAAGAGATCCCAAAACTTCTAAGACAAATAAGTTCTTCTTTTAGTCCCTACGTTCTTGTTACAATTGTAAATAGGGGTTGAAATAAGAACATTTGACATAACACTTTGGAGATGATCTTGAATTGAGGGCACAGTTTTGGGGGCTGAATCTTGACAGGAAATAAAACTACCCGGCTGTGAAACACACACGTAGTGTACAAACGAGTACAAATCAATTGCACCCGACCCACGGTGCTGCTTTCCATCGTATAAGGTGGTGAAGCTGTCTCATCTCCCCTGACGATCGTCAGCCCGCAGCTCTCTTTGCCCCGGGCAAACGCGGTGACGACGGGGACGCGTCTCGGCGAGTTTGCAAGTCAGAGAGAAAAGAGAAATACAAACGGTGCGGATAAGATAAGGGCGGTAATTTACGAATATTTTGTGGTTTGTGACAAGATGATCCAGCGTAGGTTGGATACGACAGCTGCGCCCGCTGCCGTCGTCTGTGCGATAATGCGAATGTTCAATTCGAAAAACAAGTTACACACCCTGCGATGACTCTCGCAGAACTTCACTTGTCACTGTCACACTAGGAAAACGACGAACTAAACTGTCAGAAAAAAACACACAGAATATGGTATACGGTAAAGTCTGGTAGACAATAATTTAATAATTTTAATTTGCCTGGTGCAGTTGTAATTTTAAAACTTTTTTTTTTTTTTTTAAAAATGTAAAACATTTCTTCTTGTAAATTTAAAACACTTTTTGTATTAAATGTTTTAACACTTGTTTTTTGAAATTTGCAACATATTTTGCACTTGGTGTAATCCGTTCTAAACGAGACGTCCGCGCGTGGCGTCGCGCGTCTCGCATGACGGGTCCACGCCCGCCGCCATGGGATCCTGTGGTCCGTGGTGCGGCGGGCGGGCCACGCTGGCCTTGCTGACGGCAGACGCTGGACTCTAGCGCCTGGGAGGTAGGCAGCTACAGGCGCGGGCGCGCGCCGCTGCGCTAGGAGAGGCCTACCCCACAAGGGTCCCGCGCCGCGCCCGGCAGCCGGGGAGCACGAGGTCGTCGGTCAGGGGCGTCGCCGGAAAAGCAAAGCCGAAAGCCGAACCGATTTTTAATTTTTGGCACATCAGCCGCATGGGTCTCTTTATCGCATTATACATCCGTTAGTTGGGCAAAAAAAAAAATATCTTATTCTATTTTTATCTAAAAAAAATATTAGTACTATTATCTTTTTACTTGGCTACTTTAGTGGTTTGTAAAGATAAAATGTTTTCTGGCCAACTGACCATTAAGGTAGGCTTGTTGACACAGGAGGACCCCCACTGTTGTCGTGTTATTTTGAGCGGTGAAAAACAAAATTTCAATCGACCTAGAGAAGGAAATCGTAAAAATAGGAAAGGAAAAGAAAAGGGTCGGGCGATCGGAAATAGCACACAGACTCATGACCAACGTTTTTGGGGGCAGTTCAACTTTCCTAAAGGTGACGTAAAGTCACAAAAAAAAAACACGACAATGAATAAACGGGCAGCAAAAGGACCTGCTGCTGCAGAGGAGCAGCGCGCGCACGGGCGCGCATGGAAGCTGTGCGCATGCGCAGAGCGAGTGTCACGCTATGCCACGCTTCAGGTGCTCTCCAGTACGGAGTACGTTACGTCATGCCCATTCATACCGAGCACACGCCGTCGTGGCGTGGCGTGGCGTGGCGTGGCGAGGCGTGGCGTGGCGTGGCGTGGCGGGGCGTGGCGTGGCGTGGCGTGGCGAGGCGTGGCGTGGCGTGG